AAAATTTAAGGAAAAAATTTAAATAGGTATAAATATGAATATGTATGGAGATATATAAATGTATGTGTAGGTATTTGTATATGTATATGCATATATACCGGTGTATATCGATACATGTGTATGTGGTTATATGTGTAATTGCACATGTACATCAGCGTATGTATATGTGATTTTTATGTAAATATGTATGTGGTATATGTATAAAAAAACAGAAATTTTTTTTGCTATTACCTTCAAATCTTACTCCATCTTGATTTGGAACCTAAACTTTAATTAAGAAATATTACCTATCTAAAAATAGCTACAAATTAAATTCATGAATTAGACTCAAACTGATAAAGATTTTACCTTAATAGTTATTCACAATATTAAAATATTACTATTAGTAAACTTTTATTTTTTTATTATTGTTGTATATTTATATAGTATTCGACTTATATTAAATACCTAATTTATTTGTAGAGAAGTTGAATATTTAAATTGCTAACAAGCATTAAATTAATTTCTTTGTGGAGTTTTTGTAAACTTTTAAATTACTATAAAAGGTTAAAGTCTATTTTTATCTAAATTGCTAAAGCTATACCACCCTTCTTCTTCCTCTGAAAACCCTACATACATCTCTTTTCTCTTTACTTCCCCCTTTTTTTCTTTTTCCCTTTTTTCTCCTTTTCCTTTCCCCATATCATTTCTATTGAGTTGACCGATTAAATAGGTCAATGTCTGATCCTTACCCCCACTTTCCTCAATATTAAGTATTATAATAAAAAGAAATATAAAAATAAATTTTAAAACTCTCCCTTCCCTCTCTAAACTTGACCATGTCTCTCACACAATCCCTCGCTACCTTCTATGTCAACTTATATGAAATTAATACTGCCCGTCAAAAGTGTGAATTTTAATTTCATTTTTCATTTCACCTTTTGAAAGTGATGTCTGAAGATCCAGTGAAAAATAAAAGTCTCTCGTGAAATAAATTATTACAATGGAGCCTTAAAGTCGCCTGTTTTTATTTAAATTAAATTATTCACTCTGAATTAACAATGAGCTCTCAGGATTTCATCCTCCTTGAGATTATCCATAGGGATTACCAAGATTTTTTTTACTTAAGTATATAAATATATGTTTTTACTGTTAACTTTTGTAACCAGCTGAAAAGCTTAACTCTTAAATTATCAGTTCTTTTGTAAAGATGCAGTTCAGTGACATTCTTTTGTTTATGAAATGGCTGACTTTGAGGCATAAAAAATCTGCTTCAAGTTTAGTTTTAACCTAAAACAAGCATCAAATGTTTGAGAACTTTTTGATGATAGTACTATTAGCTGAAAAGAATTTGATTTTTCATAGCATTAAAAACTTAATTACTTAAGTACTTAAAAAACAATTGATTGTCAATGAGCATTTTGGATAAATGTCATGAGGCATGTCACTGAAAAACAATGCAAATGTGCATTAGACTATAGACAAACTACAGGAATACCACACTAATTAATTGGTTCCAGAGATCACAACTTAGGTTGAAAAATAAGTCGAAATAACCACACTATAAACCACAAATAATTACTCCCCATGGCCTATTACAGTATTTATGATATGTATGTACAGTATTCTGAATAAAATAATTAATTTTCATTTTATCTTCCAGTGATATAGCTTTACACTTAGCATTAGCACTTGCAATGGGACTTTTCTTCAGAGCTATAGACAAAAATGTATTCTAAATCAGAACTGAAATGTAATTGAAAGAATGTCAATGGCAGAGAACAGATGTAAACCAGTCTGAATTCAAAATCAGTGTTGGAGAAGAAAAAAATATGAACATCTGCTGAACATGCTTTATTATAATAATTGTTTTTTGATGATTCGATGATATATATATATATATATATATATATATATATATATATATATATATATATATATACTATACATAATATTATTTAAAAGTTTTTCTGAATATATTTTTATGTGTTTATTGTTATTTTCGTGTTTTGACATTTCTAATATTTTTAATGGCCATTTAAAACAACCTAAGTCGAGTTTTATTTTTACATATAATATTTAAGAAAAACTGATATATCTTCAAAAATAACTTAACTCGAAATGACTTAAGTTGAGGTATCACTATATATATATATATATTTATTGGTTGTGATTTCTCATTGTCTGTCATTGTCTGTGGATGTATGTATGTGTATCTATCGGTGTCTATGTGTATGTAGAGTGTATTCACTGTGTGTGTGTATTAGTGTTAGTTTCCACGTCTCCCTTTTTTCATAAAGGGCTGTAGAGATGTTCATGTTTTTCCCCACCACCTCCTTTTTTTTTTTTTTTTTTTTTTTTTAGTGTGTATGTATGTGTGTGTGTGTGTGTGTGTGTGTGTGTGTGTGTGTGTGTGTGTGTGTGTGTATATCTAATTATGTCTGGGTGCTTATGTATTATAATCTGATTGTGTTTTTGTTGTCTTGACGCGTGAGTTTAAGACCACATCCACAAACTTTAAAATAAAAACGGAAATGAAAGGGAAAGGGAAAAATATATATATACATGTATTATCAAATGACCGGATATATTGTAGCGTCCTTGTCGAACATAATTTCAATGAAGAAATGAATTGAATAAACATATATATTTTTTCTTTTCTCAATAATTTTGTAGTTTTTAAACTTAATAGTGATTAAATTTGGATTTTAAAATTACCAATTTTTAATTTTAATATTAAATTTTATCATATGATTTTATAATTATTAGTTAGTATAAATTATTTTTAATATTACACGTATTTAAAGATCTGAATAGCTATTATAGCAGGATTTCGTTGTCAAGCTTTTGAATCTTTCTATACTTCGTTTTTGATTGGTTATTCTAGCTTTTGTAACAATGCTCCCCCTAGTGTAGGATCGTTAATTAATCTGAAACTTTTTAAAACCATTTATTTTATTTTCAACATCATCACTTGAGAAGACACAGAATGTGTTGAAACAAAATGGCTATTTTTGTAGTGATCTTATAACATACTTATGTTATAATTTTTTATAAAAAATAATTATATATATATATATATATATATATATGTATATATATAAATAAAAAGAAAGAACAGCAAGATATATAATCCGGTGTTCTTATAGATATTTTTTATTTTTACAAAATAGTGCTCAATGTAAATTTACAGAGCATTAATATTATAAATTAATTGATTTAAAATATGTTTTTTTTTTCACTACACAGTTCTAACCATGTTTCAAAAAAAGCTAAAAGCCACGAATTTGATTTTGTGATTAAATTAAAGACATTAGTTCCATTTCATCCTCAAGCAAATTTTTTTAATCACAAAATTAAATTTGTGGCTTTTAGCTTCCATTTTTGAAACAGGGTTAGAACTGTGTAGCGAAAAAAAAAACATATTTTAAATCAATTAATTTATAATATATATATATATATATATATATATATATATGTCTGTTTTCACCTATGTGATTGTAAATTTGTTGTATGTGACTATTTAATCCATTTTGGTGGACATTTTGAACATAAGATTCATTGCTGTATAGTTTGTGTCAAAGCTGCTTAGTGATGACCAGAAATGATATTGAATTGCTTCCTACAGGGAAACTGAATATCAGACAAGAGATATAACTATCAAAATCGTGACTGATGATGAATTGTGTGTTTACAATCCTTACGCAAAACAGCAGGTGCTGTAGTAAAAATCACAAACATCAACATGGCCCTCAAATGCATCAAGACATTACTGTTGATATTCTTTTTTTTATATTCAAGATATTGCAAACAAAGAATTTCTTCTCTTTTCTTAAGTTGTAAACATCATTTTTTTATTGTGCAGTTTTGAAAAGTCTAACAAAGAGAATTCACTGCAAACATCCAGACAGGTGGAAGTGACTGCTCTCTGCAACATGACAGCATGTCTGCTTCCCCCCCTATATCAATTGTTGTTTGTACAGATGCTAGCTTCCCAAAATGTGGAAGGCATTCCTCATCTCTTCATTTGCTTGATCTCACTCCCTGTAAACAATTTTTTTTTCCTGTACTCAGAAACAAAATTCAGGCTGAAAGGATTTTTGACTTGACTGAGGAGATCCAAACAAAATCACAGGAAATGCCTGGTACTTCCGACAATGCATGGCATGAAGTCTTAGCAAAAACTGTATACATGTGTATTTTGAAATAGATGGTAGAAACTGGGTCTTAAAGTAAGTTATGTTTTTTAATGGTCAAATTCTTTGAAGTTTTTAATAGCATGTTGTATTTTCATTATTCCACCGTCTATATCCCTGAGATGAGGTATTATAATTACTTGTATTATTTACATTACTCGGACTGTTATCTTCATTGGTATATTCACATTGTTTCGGCTGTTGAATTTTTGAGACTTATAAACCTAATGTCTCAGCAACCATTTTCATAAACAGATGACCTCAATGACACATGGCCCAGTCGATAAAAATGTTGGTTAGATCCAATGACTAGACCCAAAGAGTTGTGAGTTCAATACCAGGCCACAGCAGTGGTGAAGCAAAACTTGAAGAGTTGAGTTAAAGGGAAATAACTGAGACATATAGAACTAGAACAATCCACCCTAGTGGATGAAATGAAGGGTTTGGTTTGAAATTCCAATCACCTGAAGAAGACAGGAGTGTACAACAACCAAAATGTTGTGAATATGGCAATGAAGTTGAGGATAATAGTCTGAGCAATGTAAATACTAAGTGTGTAATGAAATTACTAAATGAAAATGAAGCTCAAAGAACAAATGTATTGTACTTATAAAAATGGTCAGATAGAATCAGTAAAAATGGCAATGGTTTATATTTGTCTTTAGAAAAAAAAAAGTTCTTTGTTCATAACCAAAATCTTATTATTGTGAATCAATTATGAAATAATTACTGATAAACTGACCAGGCTTTCTGAAAAAGGAAATTTACCAAACCTTTTTCTTGACAACTTCAGTAATGTTTATTTTTATATTATTTTTTTTATAGGGAAGATGATGTAATTGGCAAAGTGACACTATCAAGGGATGCTATTGCAAACAATAAGAAAGGTAGGTATGATTTCATTTTTCTTGGAAATTTTGGAATAATTTTAAAAATCTTTACTAAATCTGGAGGCATAAGAGTTTCACAGAAGGTTGCGATTAATAATGCAATTTATGAACTTTCAGAAGATCTTCATATTAGTAGGAAATTCAACTTAATTGATGTAAATTACCATAAATTGATTTTATTTTTCTTCCCTTGAAAATTATATAAAAAAAGAATCAACAAATAAAGTTAGTGAAATATTAGCAATAATAAAATGCATATTGATAAGTGTTGTGGATTCCGGGATGAAATCCGGTCTCAAATGAATGACAAACGCAGGAATGAAATATAGCAAATAAATGTATTGACGTAATAATACAATTGGTAATACGGTTAGTAGATCCAGAAATGCGGTTAGTAGCAATAATAATATATATACAGTCTGGGAAATTCAGTATCGAAGTATGACTTCCTTCTGAGTCTACGTGCTTGCAACTGTGACGCCTACAAATTGGTTACCTCACACTCTCACTCTCTCACTCTATCACTGTCTCACTTCCGGGTATTCACCGGCAACAGTACAAGTACCCACTGAGTGAGTCCACTTTTATAAAAAGGGGTGGACCCCTTAACAATAAGTTTCATTACTTAATAACTTTTGTAGGGAAAGAACTGTTAACCATCAGCATACAAAGAACTGATACACCTCTATTAAATGGATTGTTCCAGTAGGAATATAAGCAGCTATGGTGTTAGTCTTGGGGGTGGGGGGTGTTTTCCAGCTTCAGACAAACTTGTAAATATCTACTTTCATTGTTCTTGTTGAAAATAAAACTGTATATTTTTTTTGTGATGTCAACAAACTCTTGTTGCCACTTTTGTGATGTTCACGAATACTTGTAGTCACTTTCATAATGCTCATTGTAGCAGAGACTTTGTTATCGCAGATACCACTATAGTACGCCATTGAACAATACTGGTGTCAGATGCCTTCAAATATCACTCGCACTAATAATACTTGCTTGATAATACTCACTCGAATAGTAATCCGTATAGAGAAATGGTATAGTGAATAGAGTAGAGAATAGCGGTCTATAGAGTAATAGAGGATAGAATAGAATTGTGATCTATATAGAGGATAGAGTAGAAAATAGCCATCAATTAGACACACACTGCCTCCCATATATGCATTTCCTCTATGGTCACATGGTCTACTGAATTCAATAATGGGATTGACTGTGTTTGCTCACTGGTGATCTAAGTTCAGTTTTGACAGCAACACTTTCTTCCTACATAACAATTTTGTAAGTCACCGTTCTAGTTATTATTTCAATAACCACCCCAGAAAACATTACAAAAATAACATTAATATGTATAAAATTACAAAATTTAAAAATGAACTTATTAAATAAAAATACATGAAATGCGTGTAATAAACGTCCTATGATGTGTATTTCTAGAAGTCAGATATAAATTTAAATGCAATATCAATTGCCATATTCTGTCTTCCTGAATCCTGTTCTTTTATTTGCCCATTCTTTCACATCCAGTAACCTCTTGTGTCTTAATAGCATTATTACCTTGCTTGGCATGAAATGATAATAAATAAAAATAAAAAACTTTACCATTAATAAGAAAAAAAATATGAATTGATATATTAAGAAAACAGATATTGAAACTTTGATCATTTTGAAAATTAGCCATGTAATGTAATGTAATAGTTTAGGTATGTGTTTATACTTGGTAATAATGTTATTAAGTTTTCAATGTATTTTCTCCTTAAAGAATTATGTTCTTTTTTAATAATGGTGACATTAGTGAAATCAAAGTTATGTCCAGCATTGTCTTGATGCAAAACGAGAGAGTTAGATTGTTTGCCCAAATGCATATTGCAACCCCATAAGGATATAAAATACAATCATATGTACCTACCAATACTTACAAATGTAAAATAAAAGAAGAATTATCATAAAGCTAAATTAGAATAATAGTATTCTATGTTTAAAACCATTTTTTAAATAAGAGTAGGAAATGCTGGCCATAATCAAATTGGAGAGGTACAATTCATAGGTTTATAGGATTTGATTACCAAACAAGGGGTTCATATTATGCATGAGTAGAATCATTTTCCCACACTTTCAGCACAGTTTTAGGGGTGCGTATTATGGATGAAGGCATATTATACATGGGGAATTACGGTAAGTAATGAGGCCAAAAATAAGACAAAAATAAGGAATGATCAAAGGTTAGGGAAAACAAGAAGCAACAAAGAAGTGAAAGATTTGGAGAAAACTTTTGAGAAGTGAAATAGAGAGTGGAATGATGAAACGTTAAGAAATAGAAGAAAGGTAATAAGAAGGAAACAATAATTAGAAGAAGAAGAAGAAGAAATTATTTGGATTAACATTGAAAAGAAATCAATAAAAGAAATGATCGCAGTGATCAGAGGAGAACAAGATGGAAATATCTTTTCAAGGTTTTATTAAGTTATCAAAGGTCTCCGTAACAATTGCTTCAATTTTACTTCATCTAATTTAACATCTAATAAAAGTGTAAGAAAAGCATTGGTTTACCAGTTTGTTACAGGAGTCATCAGTTTGTAGCAACATTGACCAGTTTTGTTAAATAGGGATGTTTTCTTGTGTTGGAAGGATATATATATATATATATATATATATATATATATATATATATATATATATATATATATATTGAGACATATTTTGTTGAATAATTTGGGCATGTTTTGTCTAGTTATTTGCGATAGGATCCTTTCATATTCACGGTTAAGCTTTTTTGTGTCATTGCTGAAAGATGAGAGGAAATTTCTATGTTGATACATATTATATTTATTTCCAAGTACTTTCGACATAGCACAATGTCATCATCAGGGTATTGTTTATTACAGGATAGATATTCTAGTGTTAAAATGTGTTCAGTAGATAGTTTGAAATGCCAAATTTTGCACTAATAGTTCTTTCTGTTATTTTTTCTACTACTCATTTCATGAAAACTCTTCCCAACATACCTAGTTACCTCCCCTTAAATTGTGTTTCGTAGCCATGCCATGACACAGCACTCCTCACTCCACATATAAGAAATTTAATTTTCAGATGATCACAACAATTTTTGTCTTTCACAACATTGAACACTACAATATCTATCCTGTAGTAAACAATACCCTGATGATATTGTGCTATGTCAAAAGTACATGAAAATAAATATGTTTCAACATGGCGATTTCCTCTTGTCTTTCAATAATGACACAAAAAAGCATATGAAAGGATCCTATCATGAATAAGTAGACAGAACACTGCCAAATTATTTATTGAAACATGTTCCAATGAAAACATGCTGCTGAAATATATATATATATATATATATATATATATATATATATGTCAGATTAAATAAATTACAGGCATTATGTCTGATTATTTTTAACATAATCCTTCCGTATATTGCAATTAAATGATGTGGGAAATGTGCTATAACTGTGAAAATTGCTTTTATTTCCCAAGTACTTTTGATCTTCTGAGCTCATCTGCAGGGATGCAAGTAGTAACAGAAAACTGTATGTTGCTATTCATTGCTGTAATTTTTTCTTTTTGCTTTTAAATGTGATGGTTGACAGTCAGGCTTGAAAAATTATCCACTATGGAATTTTTTCTTCTATGTTGTAATGTCATGTCATAAACCATGAAAAACTGTTCCTTTTATAGGCATTTCAGAACATTACTACAGTATTAGGAAAAAGATCGAAAGTACTTGGGAAATAAAAGTGATTTTCACAGTTATAGTGTATTTCTCACATCATTTAATTGCAATACATGGAAGGTTATTCATGAGTATGAATGGATTATGTTAAAAATAAGCAGACATAATTTCTGTAATTTATTTAATCAGACATGCTTAAAAGAGAAATTGCTATGTATATACACAAATATATACACATATATATATATATATATATATATATATATATATATATATATAGATAGATAGATAGATAGATAGATGGATAGATAGGTTGTTGTGGAGTTGCATTAGTTTTTTAACAGGAGACAGTGTAGCAATATTGTTGTGTTGTATGCAACATAGTTTGTTAGGGAGCTAAGGGAAAAATGAGATATGTCTTGTCACTTACCATCCTGTGGTTAAAGAAGGGAGTTTGAGTAATTTCCTTTTATACTGCTTTATACAAGGCACCTGTTAGGCATTAGGGAAGGGCACTTGGAAGACATGATTGGGCATTCCCACAAATGAAAGTCAAGAGAGACAAAGACATGCTCACACATTACCTACATACATACATACATACACAAGATATTCAGATCATCACAGATATAATGGTAATAATAGCAGCACAGTTAGTGAAGCTGTTGCAACATGGGTTTCCATGGTAATAATAATGATCTTTATATTCATTACAAGAGAAAAAGTCAATAATGTTTAGACTGATGATGAGGCTGATGATGATATAATTAATGAAAAACACTGAGACTTCTTTTCTTTATCATCATCACTATCATCTTCATCAGCAGTTAAAACATCATCATCATCATATTTAGATTTGTTTTTTGCTTTATCAATTACAAATATTGGGTTGATACAAAAGTTTCAAGTTTCTTTTAGACAAAATCTTTTACTTTTATAAATTCATAGTATCATTATTCAGTCACCAAAGTATTTTATGACCATAACAACCTTTCATGTAAATTTAGTATCTCATCATAAAAAATGAAATTTTTCTGCATTTAGAACTAGATAGAATTGGTTACAAGACAAGTTGTACTGTAATAGTCTGTCTAAAAATTAATAATATAAATTCTTTTGAATCCCTCCAAAAACTTTTCCCCAGTAAATTCATTTTACAATGTTGAAGACATATCTGTATCTCAAAATAATTTTCACTTTGCATTGTCATAATAAATTTATTTTTCATTATGAGTAACTATCTGCAAAAAGGACTTATCTGTCATACAAGAAAGAGAAATTTTAAAATACTAGACAATGTTCCTTTCGATAAGTTCATGTAAAACTAATTTTCACAGATTTTGGATTTTTTCTGAGATTTGTAAATGACATTCTATCAATGATTGATTCATTATTCAGCAAGTTCATATATTTTTTTGCATTTCCTTTAAAAGTTCCTCCAGTTTCTAAATTTTGTTTTTTTTGGGGGTTTTTTCCAGAAGATTATTTGCCTTTGAGTTTGAAATTTTCTTTTTTTAAATTTGTTGTACCTACTACATCATTGCTATAAGCTTCAATAGTTTGTAGCTGAACCTCTCATGCCTTTAAACATGTCATATGTATATTTTATATTCAGCCATGATTTTCATGTAAACAATTCTTTAAGACATTATTTACATTATTTGGACTATTGTCCTCATCTTTGTCACCATATTTGTCACAACGTTTCGGCCATTGTACACTCCGGCCTTCTTAAGGTGGTTGGAATGTCGAACTGAACCCTTTATTTCACTCACGGCGACACATGGCACAGTGGATAAAGGCGTTGGTTAGATCCAGTGACAGGACCCAAAGAGTGTGAGTTCAATACCCAGTTAAGGCAGTGGAGAACTTTCAGAGGGAAATTGATGACATCCATCAAATATGGCACGTAGAACTAGAACAGTCTAACCCGGTGAGTGAAATAAAGGGTTCAGTTCAACATTCCAACCACCTGAAGAAGGCCGGAGTGTACAAAGGCCGAAATGTTGTGATAAATATGGTGACAAAGATGAGGACAACAGTCCGAATAATGTAAATAATGTACATAATACCTCATCTCAGAAATATAGACAAATTCTTTAAGAGTATTCATGCACAAGCAATAAAGAGCTGATTAAATGTAAAAGACATATTCAAGATTTCCCTAATTATGTAATGTGAAATTTTGTATCATTCTATTAATACAAGCTTTCAGTTCTTTACTGATATTTTTTTATGATAGTATTAGCAGCAGCAATATTATCTATTCTTTTTTATTAGATGAAGTATTATTGTCAACCATTATAAATTTTTTTCTGGTATTTTCTTTCATTTTAATTAGTTTTTTTTTTTCATAACTTTACTGAGTAAATCTGGCACTCAGAGATTTAAGTTATAAGTTAGTCTTATAGGTTGGAGTTGATCTTCTTTCAAGCTGTTCCATTCTTATGATTCGGCTTATGTGCTTAAGAAGCAGGTTTGCTTGAGACAACATGAATCTGCGAGTATTTTCAATTTACACTGACCTTGATTGATAGGCAGAGAAAAGTTATGCTAAAAAACAACTAAAAGAATTAAGATGAAAGACAATACTAATCAAAAACTGGTAGTACTGATACTTATTTTTAAAATGAATTTCACTTTGCCAGAGATTTTTTTTCCTTCTTTTGACATATTTCCACAGCAAACAAGTTTTATGAATATATGTATAAACTTGTGCATAATAAAAATGTTATTACATTGACTTAATTACTTGCTTATTTCAACAGAGTACAAAAGAGCAGAAATAAAATTAAAATTCAATACAAATGTCATTTATGTCATGTAAATTAATAGATTTGGAAAAACTTATGTTCATTACTAACAATAGTTGCATGCAGACCTCAATCAGTGGTGTTTATTATGATGTCTTATAAAATGAAACAGGTGCTGAGTATGTCATATGTACAGATATATTGGTGAGAAAGTTCGCACGAAATACAGCGAATTATGATGATTGTATGCTTATGTGTGCAAGGAAACATATACAATTTCATAGACATATTGATTTTCAAGTGCATATGGTTAAGTGTGCATGTAAATATATAAACATACATGGACTGATACATGTTTATTTAATTCTACAGTTGCATATATTTGTCTGGGGTCTGTGTTGTGCATGCATTAGAACATAAATAGAAACTGATAAACACAAAAAAAACTACATTAACAAAATTGTCAGATACACTACATTGTGTAAAATAAAAGTTTATACATTAGTGAAGTATTGATATTTGTTAGATACAATACAAAACACATGTATGGTGCATACTGTAAAGATTAAATTCACTAGACTAGATTGCCACCAATCTATTTTGTGTGATAAACCAAGATTTCATGATAAAAAGAAAGAGAGAAAAATCTGTTTTTTTTTCTCTTGCCCAATAAGTGGGAAGATGCAGACTGAAAAAAATAGATCCCTCATAATTTTCATAGATTTGGGATTTTTTCTGAGATTTGTAAATGACATTCTACCAATGACTGATTCATCTCTCATTTCATATTTCAAGTTCATATTTTTTGCACTACAACTTCTTTTAAAAGTTCCTCCAATTTTAAAATTCTGTTTTTTTTTCGAGAGGATTATTTGCCTTTGAGTTTGAAATTTTCTCTCTCTAAATATATTTTCCAACATTTTTAAGATTACTAAGTACTTAAAAAATTATATAAAAAAGCCGCTCACATCATTTTCTTAAATTATGTTTCAACAGATAAATTCTCTGTAGAATAACAATCAATATGTTATCACCTTGTCAAACACATAATCATGGCTACTTTCTGTTAAAAATACTGCTACTGTTTCCTTAGAAAATTAATTTCTGCCAGTAAATAATATTTGTTTCAAATCAGATTAATTATACTTTAAATCAGCTAATATTCATCAAATAAAGTTTCAGAAAAGTATATTTTATTTTTGGAAGATTTTTTTACTAAAGAGAATTACATAAGGGTGCTGATTAGATATTTTAGAAAAAAAAATCAATTCTGTTTGAAATACATTAGAGTATTTTGCTTAGTGGAAATTTAATACTTTAGCTTTCAATTAAAGCTAAAATGAAACCTGCAAGAAAGATTTTTCATTCATTTTACTCCTGTAGTAATCCTCACTGGGTGCCACACACTTGTTGCTTTTTGCTAAATTAAACTGTTTCTTAAGTATCAATAATAAAATTTGGATACATTGAGATGAACAGTATGGCTATCTAGTTCTTTTATGATAATTAAAATGTTTTGGATGAAATTAGTGGCCCACTTAGAAAATTGTTTCTCATTAATAAAAGTTTACATTCAACTGAGTTTATTGATGTTTAAGGTTATTTTTTTTAGATTTTTCCTAATTATAGAATATAAAATACCTGTAATTAATTACTAATTAAATTAAACACATATTTTTACTTTGGAAAAAGTAAGTATGTATCTTGATAAATTTAAAAACAAAGTAGTAATTATTTCATAATGTTAAAAATGTAAAATTGGAAAATCCTTTCAATCATTTTGAATCATTGTCGATGTATTTTTTCCACAGCTGTTGAAACATGGATGCCACTTACCAAAGTAAACAAAGATGCAGAAATTCAAGGTGAAATTCTTATTGAGGTTGAAAAGATCCGTGACCTTGTCAAACAGGAAAATACTTTGAGAGTAACAGTCATGGAAGCCAGGTGAGAAGTTTCATAAATATATAAGTATAAATTATAACATTCCAATTAATAAAATTATCAAAATTTTCACATTTATCAAGATCTATTGAATTAAATTTTCCTTTAATATTTAATCTTAACATTAAACAAATTTAAAACTTCAAATAAGAAACTCTGAAAAACATATGTAATCGACACTCAAAAGTGTTGATTTGTGTACTTTAATTACTCTAGATGGTATATTATAGACAACATTTCAGTCAATTACCCTCTAGATGGTATTATAGACAACATTTCAGTCAATTACCCTCTAGATGGTATTATAGACAACATTTCAGTCAATTACCCTCTAGATGGTATTATAGACATTTCAGTTAATTACCCTCTAGATGGTATTATAGACAACATTTCAGTTAATTACCCTCTAGATGGTATTATAGACAACATTTCAGTCAATTACCCTCTAGATGGTATTATAGACAACATTTCAGTCAATTACCCTCTAGATGGTATTATAGACAACATTTCAGTTAATTACCCTTTAGATGGTATTATAGACAGCATTTCAGTCAATTACCCTCTAGACAGTGTATTATCGATACAATATTTCAACCAAATACCCTCTAGATAGTGAATTATAAATACAACATTTCAGCCAAGTACCCTCTAGACAGTGTATTATCAACAGAAAATTTCAACTAAGTATGCTCTAGATGGTATTGTAGACACATTTCAACCAAGTACCCTCTAGATAGTGTATTATAGACACAAAATTTCAGCCAATTATCCTTTATTTTGCTGATATGGGATAGAGATTGATTATAGTGTTATTTTCTTCCTGTGAGGCCAGTTATTGCTTATTCCTACTAAGCCAGTGCTTCACTACCTGGTCCAGGGATTGAACTTGTGACCTGAAAAAATATCATGGATTCCTTTCAAATGTTGATGACCAGGAGCTGAAATATTAAGAAAATTAAATATGCATTTTTTCTTTTACTTATTCATCAAATATTATTAATCCTCTACAAGTATTTTTTCAGAATTGTCTTCATCTCTATATATAAGCTTTATGTCCAGAAATGTTCCATGATTTCCTTTCAGTTGTTTGAAGCTATCTAACTGAAAAACAAGCAAACATAAAGTGAGATAAAAAGTAAAAAACTGAATGGGTACTAATGACTGCAACAGATTATCCTCTAAGTGAAGCAGAAAATGAATTGAAATTGCAACCAGAAATTTCCAAAGAATTCATTTTCAGTTGAATATTCCCAGAGATAAAGGACTATACCAAATCAGCTAATACTTATTAAGTAATTACATAATTAATTAAGTAATTTAATTAATTAATTACATAATTACTCACTAGAATGAGATTATTATAATTTTTCTTTTTCTGTAGTTTTTTTTAATTTATTCAGATTCTTGTAAACATGGGGCAATGTCCTTTTGGATTGCAATTTTTAAACACTTCAGGAATTTATATAAAGGGTGCACCAAGTATCTGAGAACACATTTTTAGTGGACCATAAATGGAAGCTGATCTAATGTAACCTGACCTAGCACAAAATTTGAACATTCTTTCAGAAGAATTGAGAACATTAACATAACCGTTTCCAACTTGACAGAGGAAATGAAAAAGCAGCACCCCATGCTCATGGCATAAGCCACAAACCATAGCAACTCTTAGCCAGATGAACAAAAGAAACAAGAAGTAATTTTGCACTGACTCCTATGGAAGTACCCATTGTCTGTACCTCCATACACAAAATATTTTCCTCACTATTTTACTTTTATATTTTAAATAAGTAGGTCCAAATGAACTCTCACTCCAGCCAACCAGAAATCAATGCAGAAAAGCCTTATTGTTTGACTAATCAATACTCATGGTCTTGAGTTTTCTTTTTGATCCTACCAAACAATATAAAAGAAAGTTCTTAATTTAAAAAGACAGTTCACTCCTCTCCTGTAAAACACAATTGGGTGCTGCAAGCAGCTATACTAGTTCAATAACTCCTACTCATTATGTGTTCTGATTGATGCTTTAACTCAGTTTTTAATTGTTGAATCCTTGTACAAACTAGAACTTAAAATTCCCACCCATGCACATGAGTATGTTGTTGCTACAGCAATACAGCCAGAAACAGACTAATATCACTATTTATAGTATAAATAGAACTAATAAATCTTTTATTATTAAAATTATATCAGTTTTTACTTTCTTTTTCATCAATTATATACAGTTTGATCTTCACTGAGCACTTCATATTTTTTGCCTTGCACCAAATCTAAGCTATACTTGATAACTTACCATTATCGTACTGTATTTGACAAAATTAATTTGCCTTGGAAATTTTGCAGTAATTGTTCTCTCGTCCTAATACATATTGTGTTAGACAAACTTCAACATTAATCAGAAGCTGTATTTGTTTGGCTCATATCAGAAAGTTTTATCGTTTTAGCTCATATCAGAAAATTTGTTTTCACTTTCTAAGATTAACATGACATAAAATTAATATAAAGAGCAGAAAAGATAGATAATATTTTTGTATATAGCTTTTAAAAACATTAAATCTTACTCTGATCAGAAAATTTATTTTAAGAACATTTTGAAATTTTGAAAAAAAATTATGTAAAGGCAACTTAAAAGAAATTATATTTTAGAATTTTTTTAAAATATATACTCAAATATAAAACATTTTCCACTAAATCTTTTTGCTTTGCAAAAACTTTATATTAATGAAAAAACCCAAATGGCCAGCAGGAAATGGGTGGAGATAATTTTATTATGAATAAAAGACAATTGAGAAATAGTAACACAATTAAATGTCTTCCTCACCACCTTTTTTTTTTTACTAGTTTCTTGTTCAATCAAGCTTTTTTTCCTTTTCAACTAATAACTAATATGAAATGTGTTAGACATTAACACACTCACTTCCTTCTCTTAAGAAATTTTCTCAAGTTGACATTTACAAGATATAAATAAAGTCATTCTTCTCAAATGAAGATTGTATAAACAATGATATCTTGATATTTGTATATGAGGGCATGTTTATATCATAGAGACACATATTTAAGTGGAGAATGATAAATATGTGTTTTCATATATAACTTTTATTAAACACCACAGAAAAAGTTTGTTTTAATAACTTTTAATGATTTTCTTTTGTTTTTGTGCAAGATAACAGATGTTAGATTTCAGTGTATGTAAAAAGTGTCAGTAACTGTATTTTAGTACTTTCAATGATCATTAGTCATTTTCAAAAATGGTATTAGGTTATGGTTTGGAAATTCAAGAAAACATCCACAAATGATTTTTAAATTTAGTAATATTTTAACATTAAAAAGAAAGTAAAAATAGTTTCAGTTGAAGTATTTCAAAATTCATAACCATTGAAAGCATTTAGTTAAGAATTAGTAAACAATTAGTTAAGAATTAGTAAACAAATAGTTAAGAATTAGTAAACAGTTAAGAATTAGTAAAAAAAATACTTAAAAATTAGTAAACAATTATTTAAGGATTAGTAAGCAATTAGTTAAGATTTAGTAACCAATTATTTAAGGATTAGTAAGCAATTAGTTAAGAATTAGTAAACAATTATTTAAGGATTAGTAAGCAATTAATTAAGGATTAGTAAGCAATTAGTTAAGGATTAGTAAGCAATTAATTAAGAATTAGTAAACAATTAATTAAGGATTAGTAAGCAATTAATTGAGTATTAGTAAGCAATTAGTTAAGAATTACTAAACAATTAGTTAAGAATTAGTAAACCTGTTATGATGTTGATTTGGGGTTAGTAGAGACAAACGCTAAATAACACGTAACAATAAAAAGGGTTTTAATAGGTTGGTAAAAAGGTACAGAAATCGCCTGAGTAGTCAATAACTAGCTCAGCTAAGAACTTCCCTGTCTATCTATCTCCCCATTATTTAAAGTCTCTGTTCACAGACGCAGACAAGTTCATCTTCAAGAGGGGTGGTAGGTTTCCGACACAACAAAACCATTAGTTAAGAATTACTAAAAAATTAGTTAAGAATTAGTAAACAATTTGTTCAGAATTAGTGAACAATTAGTTAAAATTTGGTTAATTTAATGATAATTAGTTAAGATCTGGTTAATTTAATGTTAATGCTTTCTGCATATATTCATATTTAATAAGAATAACAATGATTGTATTTTGCAAAAATAAAACTTGATCAACCAGAATATTTCGAAAAAATAATGTTTTTAAAGCAAGTCTTTGTCGTATTATATAACTGATATCATTAAACATATTTAGGAAATTCAAATATATCTAATATCTAATAATATCTAATAATATTTAAGATATCTAATATCTAATAATATTTAATATATCTAATATATTTAATATCTAATAATATCTAAAATATTTAATATCTAATAATATTTAATATATCTAATATCCCATATCTAATGATATCTAATATCTAATGATATCTAATATATCTTATAAGCTGTAAATAGTTAGAATCCTTCACTAGATTAACAATTTACTTATAAAAAGTTTTCCACATGTGCCTATACAAAACTGAAATATTTGACTACACATATAATTCATATCAAAAGTCACATAAATATCTAACTTCTAATTATATATAAAATTATCTAATACATATAATTAAAAAATTTGAAATAAGTTTATATCATGTGATAATCTTTTAAGTAAGAGCAAATTCAAATAAGTTTGTTATAAAATGTTTTTTAAGGAAAACAAATTCAATTTTACAATCAAATCTTCTTGAAAGTGGATGTAATTTCCATGAAACTAGAATAAAAAGCAAGATAAGTGAACATATATATATATATATATATATATATATATATATATATATACATGTATATGTATATATATATATATATATATATATATATATATATATATATATATATATATGAAGAAAGATTTTGGAAAAACAAACAAAAAATCCTTAAATGCAATTATGTTGTTTAAAATGAATGAAATGTCGACGTCTGACGTTTCGGTTTAATAAACCTTTTTCAA